TGGGTGAATGTCTGTTAGTGTAAAGCGCTTTGGGGGTCCAGAGGGACTTGAAAAGCGCTCTATAAGTTCAGTACCATTTACCATTTAAATTCTACTTAATGCTCACATTCTCATTTTGTTCATCTGAAACTGTTTCAGCATGTCGTTTCATTTGTTTATAATGATTTTCCTGACACATAATCCTTCTATTATATTTTTAAATACTTTTACATCTGTCTTGACAGTTAATGCTGATTCATGTTTAGTGTTGATTTCTAATTCTGAGTACCTGTGATTCAGTGTGGTTTTTTTAAACTATATTCCAGGTACACCTTCACTGGCATTTACACTTTTGAGTCAGCAATAAAGATCTTAGCCAGAGGATTTTGTTTAGTGCCCTTCACCTTCCTCAGAGATCCGTGGAACTGGCTTGACTTCACCGTCATCGTCATGGCGTGAGTTGTGATGTCATTTATATGTTACTGTCATGCTGATGATGTGTTTTCATATTTGACTTAACACTGGCAGTGGCTCTCCATGACAAAGATATGTATGAATAAAAAAAGAAACAGAGAAGTTTTGTTCAGCATAATCCAGACTTTACTATCAGTTCACTTTATAATTCAGTTCATTTAAAGGGGACATATCATACAAAATCCACTTATTTTAAATGCATTTTGTTGTAGACTTGAAGTCTAGGAGTGCAGAAAAGTTGAATTTAGTTCCTCCCTTTGCTGCGTGGATCTTTATGTTCTGTTTGGGACGTATTTTTCAGCCCGTTCAGTTTTCTATATTTGCTACCAAGTGTTCTGAATTACTGAAGCTTCTCCTCTTCAGGTGGAGCGACAATTATTCTTTGATTGTGAAATGACTAAGAAACCATTGACGCAGGTTAGATGGATAAACCTTCAGGCTTGCCAAATTATTTGAAACCAGTCATCCTGATTGGTCATTAAATGTGTTTGAAACCAGAATGGGAAATCACTCTTGATAGATGTAAACACTTCAGCAGTTAATAAAGGTTTTTGAATAATTATTGTTCAGTCAGCAAATTTGTTTGCCATATTTATAGGTTTGTGAAAAACAATGAAGTCAGAAATTAGCTGACTGCTTTCTGTCTCTGGAAGCAAATATTTGGAACAAATTTCTTTTAAAACAATCTGCACTTTAGTTCCCATCAACAAACAAGTACAGGAAGCAAAGTAAAGCTTAAAAAATAAACTTATGGTATGTAATTTTATTTGATGGCTACTACAAATAAAATTATTCTAAGTATTTAAATTTTCAGGCAAAAAAATCAGCTAAATAAAGCTAATTGACTTATACTGTATGTATTTATATTTTATTAGAGCCAGTCTGCAACAGAAGTGATCTGAGTGCACTTTCTGTTAATTTGTCTCTGCATTTATTATTATTATTATTATTATTATTATTATTATTATTATTATTATTATTATTGCCTTACTCAACACTTCTAGGTATACTCTTATTTTGTTGCTTTACCTGGAAATTATAATGAATTTTAGTAGGAGTTGCTTTTTGAATTTCTACAACACAACAACCACTTTGAATATTCAAAATATTTTCATACTAAAACAGCCCAAATATTACAATAGACCCTCTGCATCGCTCTCTATGCCTAAACAGAGTTGAGTATGTGTAATTATCTTAAAGATGAAGAAAGCTTTGTAGTGCTTGACATGATGTTGTCCTTGATGGTCGTTCAGTTTTAGTCTCATCTGATCACAGCACCTTTTGCTTTACATTTGGGGAGTCTCATAGATAAGTCTTGGTAATTTTCAAATGTTATAAAAGATTTTTTATTAGTTTAGCAATTTTATATCAAATCTTCCATGAAGCTCAGCTCGGTGTAGCTGGTGGTTCTATGGACAGATACTTTTCTGCTTCTGCTCCATCAGGATTATTATTACTAAACTTAACCAGTGGCAAATTAGAAAGGCCTTTTGGTTAATTCCCTCCTTGTCGTCGTTTGTGATCTTTGATGGTTGACCCTCTCTGGGCTGGTTTGCTGTGATGATGTAATCTTTCCATTTTCTAATAATGAATTTACTGGAGCTCTGTGGAATGTTGAGGTTTGGGATATTTCTAAAAATCCAACTCTTATTGATACTTCTCTACAATTATGTTTCTGACTTTTCTGAAGAGTTTTTTGGTTATTGGGAAATGCTCTTACTGTGTGGTGGCCTTACTTGTTACAGGTGTTGGACTGGTATCGATGGTATTGATTCTGGGTGTTATCAGAATAAATGAACATTCTGTGTACTGGGATCATTTGACACTTCATTGCCCACAGTGGGTCTTATTTACCTACGTAGGCATAGCTTCTGAAGGCAGTGTGGCTTCAATAGATACAGGCAGGGTATGAAATACGTACGCATGCAAAACTTTATAGTTTATTTTTTGCTTATTTAACTTTATTAATCTGGTGTATTTTTTACATTACCATTAGTCAATTTGAAAATCATTTGAAATTCCCAGTATAAGGCAGCAAATAGAAAGAATTCCATGTTTTTTGTTCAAAAGGATAGCAATTTATTATAATAAAACCTAGACCGTTAAAAAGAGACTGATTTCATGATGAAATCACATTTAAGTGCCCCTTATGATAAACTACAATATTGTGTTTTGTGATGTGACAGAGGAACTCTTTGTGCTGTTTGTATTAAAAACTTACAGATATGTCACAGAATTCATTGATCTGGGAAACGTCTCTGCACTGAGAACCTTCCGAGTCCTTCGAGCGCTGAAAACCATCTCTGTTATTCCAGGTACAACAACTTTCAGGCCATTTCACTCACCTTGTTACGTCTACATTTATTTCAGTTGGTATGAAACATTAGTAGTTTGTTCTGTCTTTTCTCCCCCCGTCAAGGTCTGAAGACCATCGTGGGTGCTCTGATCCAGTCTGTAAAGAAGCTGGCGGACGTGATGATCCTGACCGTCTTTTGTCTGAGTGTGTTTGCTCTGATTGGCCTGCAGCTTTTCATGGGGCTGCTGCGACAAAAGTGCATCCGCAGCCTCGAGCACTGCATCAACTCTTCGTACAGCCCCAACACAACGTTCATCTGCAACAACCGAACCTGGAGCTCACCTGAGGACTTCCTAAGCAATGAAGGTCAGGTGAAAGCAAATTGCACTGCTGTTCAGAACTACCCCACACATGCTCTGAAAATTTGTATTTATTTCAGTTCTCAATGTGTTTTTTTTAGATAATTTTTACAAAGTTGAAGGACAAAAAGATGCATTGATATGCGGATATGGAAGTGATGCAGGGTAAGTCAGCTGACTGCTTGTGAACCATTTACAGGCTGTTACATAACATTAATGTGTTTATGACTTTAGATCTCCTGCAATATGAAAGCTTGAGGACCAAGCTCAACACATATAGGTTTTTTGTTTGTGTTTTTTTGCTTTAAAACAACCAAAAATGATTCTTCCATAAGTTTCAAATATTTGGTATGTAATGTAAGAGGTATAATGTAAAGGGAAATTATCAGAGGAACMGCTGAGAGACAGCATGTGGTGAGGATTATCGCCTCGGCTCCACTGGAAGTCTTTACTTAGAAACACTGAGTTCCCAGCTGGACTGAATGATCTTTAGAGATTTCATCATCTCRAAAGCTCTATAACGTTAGGCTGACTAGAGTGGACCAGGTCAGTTCAATACAAGGTATTTTTGTTTTTAAGAGAAGGGTAGCTATCATCAAACAGCATTTGGTGAAAAAATATCTAACAAGGAGAAATTTAATCGTGACAATACAATCTCCCAGCCCACGTACAACATTAAAAATATGTAAACACATTAATTTTACTGTTTCTCTGAGGGATGGTCTTTTTTCCTAATCAGACACAGTGTGAACCCATCCAAATATTGCTACTCAGCCTACGCACTGAATAATCCTGTGAATTCTAATGCTTTTGAAACAAGCACAACAGACTGACTCCGGCCCTGCCAGACCCAGGTCAACAGTTACACTGAGCTAAATACCATCTGCGTGAATCTGAAAGCTTGCAGCTTCAACAAATAGCCTCCATTAGGTGCTCTTACTATTACAAGAGAAACAGCAGTACTAAATGGAGTCATACATTTAAGCATTTTATGAATGACAGTAAGGTTGTTTGTGCAAATGCTATTTTTAGATGGTTTTGCCATATTCTTGTTTGAAGATGACAAACCCCACACCCTCATTGTGCATTATAAATACAGTTTTTACTGTAAAACAAGGATTTATCTTGATAACATTTAGACAAAACACAATTTATTCATTTCAGCCCCAATTTAACTTTGTTATCAGTACAAAGAAAAACCAAAGTAGCTCAAGTGTTTATTGTTTAGGATCCCCATTAGCTCGACTTCTGAAGTATGAGTTGTATAATATTTTTTTATTTATTTAAAGATGAATGAATGGTCATCTTAACAACTTTTTTTTAATTAAATCTGACTTGACTTGACTTGACTTGACTTACATTTGTGCCAGTAGAGGTCATCCTCCAGTTGAAGGTTAAGGGGGTTTGATGCCCAGCCCCTCCTGTCACAGTTTGTAGAGAGGATTGGACCCAGAATTGCAGACCATTACRGGGGGCTAAAAACATTAAAGATTCAATATTCACATAATAATACAAGACAAAACAAAAAAAGTTGGTATGGCAGCAAAAGAACCTAAACAACAAACTCAGGAAACTATATTTATTAAAAGAGAAAAAAAAAAAGGGCCTAAAGCAAAGTGCAAGACTGCAGATGATCTGGGAGAATGAGCTGAAGAAAACTGAGGAGAGACAGGTGACACTAATGAAAATTGTATGAAAGGCAATTGTGATGGAAATAATACTTTTAGGTTTAAGCCAGTAATTCATGACATCCTTTAATGACCTAGGTTTTCATGACATGCTGTTTATCAGTAGATAGAAGGATTAAAGTCAGAACAAGATTTGCTAACAACAGTCATTCTTAGAAATCACTTGTGTTAATCATTGTGTTTTCCCTTGACCCAGCATTTCCTTAGGATGAAATCTTGCTTTATTAAAATGACATAATAGTGTTTGTTAAACAGTATACTGTATTTGAAGCCTCAACTGCCTCAGAGAAGCAGGAGCAGAGAGCAGTGGGACAGTCTGATGGCTCGATGTTGTTCTCTGTGTTTCCTGTTGTTGCAATAAAACTCAGCTGACATCCCATGGAGTACTTTCATTCTTGGACCACGTATTTCTGTCTTTGTTAAATAAATATTTCCATAACAGCGATTAACCACTATCAACCCCCAATATGCTTTTCAGTATACGAGTGAGATATAAAAGTGCTAATTATTGTGTGTAAATTATACACTGGTAATAGGAACCTGTGTATGAGTGTGTGGGCATATTTTTACTACAACATGGGAACCATTTTCCAGAAAAAGGCAGTCTCGTGGGGACAGAATGTGCATTGTGTGGACCAATGCCCGACACGGGTACGGATGCTAATTTTGGGTGAGGGATTAGATTTAGGACCAATTGAGTTTTGGTTAGTTTTAGGGTRAGGTGGGTACCTGTGAGGTTAATTTTAGGATGCATTGTCAGGATTGGGCTTTAAAGGTACCACAAAACAAATGGAAGTCAATCCACAGTCCCCACAGGGATATAAAAACAAACCTGTGTGTGTGTGTGTGTGTGTGTGTGTGTGTGTGTGTGTGTGTGTGTGTGAATGAGTGGTCATTTGGCCAGTCCTGAAATCTGGTACCTACTGTATTTCAAAACACTTCTTTTAATTAGTTAACTTGCAAAACAGCATCAGTTGTTTTATTACCAATGCAGTGAAGACAGTTTGTTACACAATTATGCATCAGAGAGCAGCCACAATGTAGTTTTTAATCTTCGCCCAAAAACACAAGAACTTAATCCCTCAAGAAGTCAAATCTGATCCGGTGATTTCTGTTGAAGTCGGAGCAAAGTAAGGATCCATTTGAAGGCATTGAGGGGAAAGTGATGTCATTAAACCTCTTTAAATAGTAGGTTAGTAAGATCAGGCTGTGACCAATGAGCAATCACCAATGCAGCTGTCTCACCTACGAGTCGGTGCTGTCTGTTGTTTGTTTGTTGGACATTTGATGTTTCAACGCATTTACCATGTGTGATGAACGTTTTTTCTTTTTTTTTGCAGCATCATCACTGAAAATGTGACGTTGACTGCATTTTCTAAAAATGTGTTTGCAGTTGAATTGCTTCCAAATTACCAGTGACAGATTTATGACAGGCTGGCTAGATTAGAGGTTAACAGAACTGTAACATAGCATACYTTTCTTTTTTCTTTATTTTTGTTTTTGTTTGCAATGGCCGAAGCAGCCTTTAAACTTCTGTGTCGATTTAGATGCAACTTTCTGAGGCTGTCTGTGGAGACGAACAAGACACTAAGCTGGTCAGGATGGAGGACGTAAAACATAGAGGATGCTTAATCTTTTGAGAGTATTCCAACAAGTAATCCCTGAGTAGATTTCCAAATTAAAGCTTTGGATACGTTATGATGACACGCTGTCACACACATGCGCACAAGCTCACACAAACACCACTTGGCACACACAACACAAACACACAAAAAAGAGACATTCATGCAAATTCAGATCATTTCAGCCAGGTCAACAAGTTAGTGATTAATTATTTGCTCAAACGGTTCGAGTTGTTTTTTCATCACTCCTGCTGGAGAGTTTAGGCAAATGCTCATCCTCTCACATCCTGGACACTGTGCATTAAGGATTCTCACTGATTTTATGGACTTTTGTAACTTTTGCATTGCTGAGCATGAAAACCCACTATTGTAGCCCTATAACCCAGGAAGTAAAAGACGTTCATCCATATGCACAATCTGTGGAATTGATTTTCAAAGATAATACATGACAATGTAAACATGTAGAAAGCTTTAACAAAAAGGATTGCTCTCATTAACTATTTTTTCTTAATATTTAATACTCAAATTAGTATTTTTCAGAAAGCCATACATTCTCATTATCCTTTTAATTTTTAAAAATGAAGGCCTCACTATGACATGCTTAACCTTTCTTACTAAACTGATTTTATATTAGTCAATGACTGAAATTGCAATACATATACACACTGCCTGGACAAAAGAAAGTCAACACTTGTATAAGCAAATAGCTACGAACCTCCTAGTGGAGTTGGGTGGTTATCTTTCAGCTGGCAACAAGTTATTTAACCCCTGCTGGTGCAATGAGTTGCTTCTCACACATCCTGTGGTCGTGGAGAAGATGTCATTCTGTTTGAGAAAGGTCAAATCACTGGCATCAAGCAGAGAAAACATCTAAGGAGACTGCAGAAACTACTAAAACTGCGTTGAGAACTGTCCAACGCATTATTAAAACTGGAAGGGTATTTAAAGAATGGTTRTCAAATAAAATATTTTTCTTCAACCTTTATTTTCTGTCAGAGCAGTTTCCCTTTCAGCTACACTAACTTGGATTTTTCCACACAAAGGAAGTTTCAGTGCAGTTGCTTTTGTGACGTTAGGTGACCACAAAGGTGCTTTTTTACCACTACAATAAGAAAAAAAATTCACGTTAATGTTGTTGTTAAGAGGAGGACTTTGGTTAAAAATGACATAGTTTTAGGGAGGAAATTGGAAAGATAATAAATAATAGACATTTTGGTTGCTAAAAAGGGCCAGTACTCAGTAAAAGGTTGTCTGCTAATAACAACTTTTATGGTTCAGTCCATATGTCCTGTCTTTGGACATGGTAATATAACATGGTAACAATTCCAATGTTGAGTACTTTTCATTAAAGCTGCTCTCTGCAGAAAAGTTCTGAACAAATAATATATTTGTTAAACATCTGTTTGAAGAAATAGAGTTTAGAAATGACTGGGTTGGAGAGCTGAGTGGGGTTAAGATCAAAGTACATTGCTGCAATCACAAAAAAAAAAGAAAGTGTTTCATGCAACAATTATTGTATAAACATTTATATTATTGTCAAGTATTCTTTACATAATCATTTACAAGAAGTTTAAATTTTTTTTTTCAAATAGCAGCATTTAGCTGTTGTACAACCAATGCAGCCTGAGCCACTTACAGCAGGAATAATATATCTGTCATTAAAAATTATTGGTGGTTTAAAGGTTTTAAAAAAAAAAAATTCACTTGAACTATTGTGACATTTTTATACAGTATCTGAGTTATTGTAAAACACCAGTGATCCTCTTCGATTGTGACACATTAGGACTAGCTGTTAGTTTGTCAAGATTAAACTGTATTTCTCTAAAATGGGATCTTTAAATGAGCTATAACAGGTATATACCCTTCCCATAGAAGGCACTTCAAAAGATCTGGACAATCCTTTTAATCTTTAAATTTCCAGAAAGAAAGTCCAAAAACCTTTGAACATGCAGCTTTAGATTGAATAAAAGTTTCTTTACTTGTTTGAGAACTTTGAATTTTTAATCTAAAATAGTTGCTACAAAATTGTACGTTTTAAACCCAGTTAAAATGTGAATAAATAAAATATGGTATTTTATCYTGAATACTATGTCAAAACGATGGATTGTTTTACCTTCATCCAGTCATTTGTTTTATCATCTTTAATGGCATGCATGCATTATATCAAATTATGTATAAAATTTATTTTAAAATAATTAGTATGTAAAACAAAACTTTTAACTGAAGCTGTAAACTATGCCATGGCCTGACCCCTTCGACCAGTATTTAACACTGGATCAAAATCAACCAGTACTTTCTCCTGCAATTGATCCAGACTTTTCAGGGAGGTCAGCACCTGTAATTACCTACTGACTCAGCCCAACAACATGCAAGCATCAAACTATTTGCATGATCAAGCCAGATTATCAGACAAGTAGAAGTTTTGAACTTGAACAATAGCCTGTGTGAATCAAAGCTAAAAAGCTGCAATTTTACCACTCATTTAGCCAGGGCGCAACATGATGAACCCAGGGAGTTGCAGTACAGGTCGACAGGAACAACTCTTCCAGGTCCAGATGTTTCATCCCCACTCTCTCCGCTGGAGATGATGAATGGAGGCAACTCTGAAACCTTAAGTTACCTCGGCTCATGTGTTGTCGTTTACACCTTTAAAAGCCCAGCAGAAGTAAATAAACAGAAGACTTACCAAAGCTCAGAAATCACCTATAGGAGCTGTGTGTCAATTTTGTGCTCGCAGGCAAAATCTTTATTACATAATAAAAAACTGTAACTTCAGTTACACAATCACATCCTTTGCCTAAGTTCTTCAAATCAAAGACAAAGAGTGTATACACTCGTGTGTAATCTTGAACTAATGAAAAGGGATACAGCTCAAGTTTTCATCCTCAGTTATTTTACTTTCAGAGGCATGGCTACGATATAATCTATTTCAGTGTTAAATGATTATATTTGGTCTTCTAAACTTGTGTTTGAAGAACCCTCTCAGTCAGCAGAATCTGTGTTTAGTTATATTGATTAAGAGAGCAGAACATATGAGTGTAGGGACAACCTGACATGAAGCCTTCACTGTTCTGGACATTAGTTGAAATTTATTCTCATCTAGTTGGTGAAATGTACAGCTGTACTCTCAGCAGGGCTGCACAGCCCAGATGTTTGGCAGCCATTATGAAATTATTCTGCACTCACACACGCAGTCCAGCTTGTTCTTCACTGCTGGACTGAAATATTTTCTGTAACGCTGCCCTGCTAACAATGAAGGTCAGGGATGGAGGCATCAAGCCGAAAAATATTTTGAACTACGATTTGATATCCATCTGGCTCAGTGTAAATCCTTCAATTCTGGTGCATTTCACTGCTTTTGCCTGAAATATGTTTCAAGTGCCATCTTCAAGTGCTGGTGATGGTGGCYCCGGTGCATGGCAGCCCCGCCTCTGTCAGTGCACCCCAGGGAAGCTGTGGCTACATTATAGCTTAGCTCTATCAGTGTGTAATGGTGCGTTCACACCAAACGCGATTTCAGCGTCAGGAGCAGCAGGTTTACATGCAAAGTCTATGGTTCATGCGCTTCAAGCAACGTCGGGAAGTGCTGCGGCGCCTCAAGCGCGATTAGAGCAGCGCGATTTGAACGATTTGGACGATCTGAGCGTTCGAGGCGCAAATCGCTGAAGTTAGAAAATCTGAACTTTTGCAGCTCGACGCGCTGCATCAACCAATCAGAGAGACTCCACTGTGTGACGTAGCGACATATTTCCCGACGGGACAGTTTACTGAATGATGTCCACTAACCTGAAACAGATGGAGAGGAGCTCTTTAGCTGAAATCSAGTGCCTGCAGTCGGTGTCCTGACAGGAGATATCCGCACCAATGCGAGGCAGCGGCTCATCAGACTGGAAAAATAGTCCTGAAAGCGAGCTGTGAGCCTCTTCTCTGAATTATCTGGTGAATTAATTATGAATTAATTATCTGATGAACGTGACATGCTCTTGCTCTCTGTAAATAAAGCAAAGCCACTTCCTCGTCCGACATTAAACAGAGCCRGACAGAGGAGGGAGGTGCGGGGAGGCTCTGCCGTGCAGCACTTCAAGAGCTGTCCTGCGTCTGACCTCAAAGTGCACAAGCGACCAACTTCAGCGTTGGCTGCGATTTTTGAAGCTGAAATCGCATTCGGTGTGAATGCAGCATCACTGTGTGTGTAAAGCAGTTTGGAGTCCATAGGGAACTGACAAAGCGCTGTGAAAGTTCAAGCCATTTACTATTTACTGCTCAATTACAAAACTCTAAATGTCCAGCGCCTCCATGCTTGTTCCTTACATGCCCCATCGTTGTGGAACAATTTCCCTCATGGCATCAGGCAGATTATTATTATTATTATTATTACCATCTTCAGTTGCAATATTAGTGATGGAAGTAGTGCAGTCATTATGCTTCTGTTAGTGCAGACAAAATCTGCTGACATAAGAGGAGTTAGCACAATCACAAAGCTCCAGTATGTCCTTCCTGCTCTTGGTGTTAATATTCTTAACCCTGTTTTTATCCATCTATTCATCTAATGATCTGCCTTCTCCTGTACTTTATTATTATGTGTATTTCAGAAAATGCCCAGATGGATTTGACTGCCTAAAACTTGGAAGAAATCCAAACTATGACTACACCAGTTTTGATACCTTTGGCTGGGCTTTTCTGGCACTTTTCAGACTTATGACCCAAGACTACTGGGAAGAGCTGTTTCACCAGGTGAAGCTTCTGATTCTTTTTTTTTCTCTACACAATGATACAATCTTTAAACACTAAATTTGGCTCAGAAAGACTAAGTGGTACACTGATGTCCCCCATTGCTGAGGTATTTGAATAGTGGTAGTCTGTCTGAAAGAAATAAGTGATTTTCGTGTTCATTACCAAGATGTGTGCGAAACTGTACAGAGAATGTGCACAAACAATTGAGAGTCTTAAAGAACGGCAATACAAAACCAGGGCTCTGCTGATGTTCGGTTTAATGGTACCAGAAAATCAGACTGAATGAGAAAATAACAAGAGTATTTAATATTCGCTTCAGGGCAGGACTCCGCCTTTCGATTACACCATCAGTGAAGGGGGGCCCTGTCTTTGTCAGAGTCCTGCCCTCTTACAAAGAAATTTATCCTGATGATTAAAAGTTCATTCCAAGATGTGTTGTATTTGTTATCAAGCATGTACCTATTAATTATCATGTTCATCAAGTCACATTTAACAGTCATTACAATTCTATCATAAAACAACTCATACTATGTATAATGTAATTAAATTAGTAACATAAAGCCCAATAATTTTCTTCATGTCAGTGGAACAAAATTGACCCAAACTATACAAACACAGCAAATAAAACTAAGTAGTAACTAAATCCTTTAGAAAAACATAGTATAGTAAAACTAATTTWAAAAAAAGTGCTAAAAATTCTCATAAACTGTACTTCAAATTGCACTCAAGCAAACTTACTTCATTCCTGCACCTCTGGTTACAAACATGATGCTGGAATCCTAATATATCACATTGATCATGTAATTGTAATAGATGGTATTGAGACTCAAGCAAGTAATCAAATTTTATACAATTAATACTAAATATTTTTCCTTTGTCTTAAAAACTTGAGGGTTTTAAGAACAAAATTAAGTAAAAATAAGTATTGTTTGTTGCTTTGTGATTTTTTTATACTGTTAATAATAAAAACTTCTATTAGTTGATGAATATTTGCTACCACTCACTTGACATTGTTTCCTCAGACTCTGCGTTCTGCTGGGAAGACCTACATGGTTTTCTTTGTGCTCGTAATCTTTCTTGGCTCCTTCTACCTGGTCAACCTGATCCTGGCTGTGGTGGCCATGGCCTATGAGGAGCAGAACCAAGCGACCATCGCCGAGGCCTGGCAGAAGGAGAGGGAGTTTCAGCTGGCCATGGAGCACCTCAGACGGGAGCAAAGAGTAGGTGCAGAGTTTTCCTGCGTGCGAGATGAGATAAATAATGAATAACTTTCAACTCTTTCTCGTGTGAAGCTGGCAGCCAAAAGACAAGCACAGGAGACAGAGCTGTCCCCAGAACTGTCCCCATTCATTGTGAAGAGAGGAAGTATACGGCGCAACAGCAGCACTAGAAGGAGAAAGTCCCACCAGGCTCTTTCAGAGGAAACAGCAGGAGAAGCTGCTGAGGAGAAGCTGGATCCTGTGGATGAAATCGTGGTACAGTACAAATCATTAAAACATGCTTTATAAAGGTTTTTTTTTTGTAAGCTTTACAAAATAATGCATCATCTGTGTTTGTCTATAGCCTCCTCTGTCCCCACTGCCTGTCCACCCTCTGTTGGCCACGCTGTCCTCTCACCCCCTCAGCACCAGGAGAGGAAGCCAGAACAGCATCTTTAGCACTTTCCGAACTCGTAACAACTCAGAGGCTGACTTCGGGGACGATGAGTACAGCGTGCATGGAGACGTCTTCAGGAGTCGCGCCAGTTCTACTGTAACACCCTGGAAGAAGAGGACGGGCAGTGTGAGGAGCCACTGCTCCCAAGTCCTAACCCCCTCTTTTAATGTCAACGGCCGACTGAACATCTCCTTGGACCAGAACGGCGTCACCTGTATGGGACTTCTCACCCCCACGTCCCTGCCAGCTCACAGCATGGAAAGGGTCAGGGAGGAGGTGGTGAGTGGAGTTTTGTCTCATCAAACTGTTCTGAAAAATTTAATAAAATAACACTTTCTAGGACATGTTTTTTATTTTATTCTTTAATTATCAATCAATCACCTTTATTTAACCAGATAAAAGATCTCTTTTCCAAGGGTGACCTGGCCAGCAGCACACGTCATAAAAATATAATCAAAAATAGTTTACAAATCAGAAAACAAATACATAAAACAGAGATAAACAAAGAATTATATCAAAAGTTTCAGGCAAAGCATGGTTATAAACTTGACAGTGACTAAAGCTCCATGATGTAATAAAATTACAAGTGATGAAATGCATAAGCAGGAAATGGTTAAGAACAGACAGAAACAACACAGACAGGTAATATGTGAAGTTTAAAATCATTGGCAGAGATCAAAGTTCTCACTAACACTATCTGTTAGGGTTGAAATGAATGATCTTAGAGAGATGCATCCTTTTTTCCCTAGTTCAATTCTGACATGTGGAACAGTCAAGAGGATAACATGTTTGATCTTTGCAGTAAGGTGCTTAAATAAGGGACTATGAGGGCCTTGTAGATTAGAGCAGTGCTTCCCAAAGTTGGGGTCGGGACCCACGGTGGGGTCCTGAAACATCAAGGTGGGGTCCTAAAAATATTTTTTGAATTAATTACACAAAAAAATGACAACTCAGCACATTTTTTTCCTTTGTTTTTAACAAAATAATAAGATGAGTGTACTTACAATGGACAAAAATAGTGTAATAAATAATGTCAGTGGTGGACAAAGTACTCAACTCTAGTACTTGAGTAAAAGTATTGATACTCATGGTCAAATCTACTCCACTACAAGTAAAAGTTACTCAGTCAAAAATCTACTCAAGTAAAAGTACTGAAGTACTTACTTTTGAAAATACTTAAGTATTCAGAAGTACATGCAT